GATTCTCAAGAGGAAAACAAAATCTCCTGTTTAGTGATATTATTCCAAGGCATCATTTTCATCTATTTACTCATGTAAACATTACAAACATCACATTCACATTTCCATTAATAATGGAAAAAAAAAATAAATTGTATTTAAAAATACAAATCAAATAATTTCTAGTCTATCATGCACCAACACATCGCCTCAAAGAGCCAAAGAGGCATACAGTGTCTCAGATGTATCTGACACGCCTCTGACATGTTTCGTACAAGCTGAAAGCGTGTCCGATTAAAAAATTATTAAATACAAATTGGACACGTGCCTTCAATATTTTATGATTTTTTTTTAAAATATAATTTCTTGTATTTAATTTTTTTATTTATTTTAAATATAAAAATTAAATTTCTTATTTCCTATCCATAACACTTATGCACTCAACACCTCATTCATCAAATATTCTTATTTTCATTTCTCTTTGGCAGTCACTATAAGACCCAAAATTATCAGGCATGTAAAAGTTTAAATTAATTAAATATATTATAAAACTTATTTTAAATCTTAATGATAAATTACCGTTAAATTAATTAAAGCTCAATGATAAATTACTGTTAAATTAATATTAACATATTAATTTCTATTAGTAAAATGGTTAAGTAACTTAAGTAAAATAGATAATTGGTTATTTTATGAATATGTGATTTCAATGAATTTTGAAGATAAGAATGCAGTTGATCAGCTTTATGTGTTTTATGTGAGCCCTCTCTATTATTTATTGTATTCGGAACTCATACAACTATAGTTTCACGCAAGCATTGAAAGCGCTGCTGAAGAGATCGGCAATGCGCTCTATAGAGAGTTCAGCGCAGTGCACTCCTGTGAGTTTCGGCACAGTGTTTTTGAACACTGTAGAAGGGAGCGGCACAGTGGAATTGCTGTGAGGGAATGGTAGTCGAGGCTGTGAGAGTTCGTCGGAGTAAGAAGCAAAGGAAAGTTTAGAGAAGGAAAAAAAAAAAGAGAAATAAAAGGAAATCATGGAAAGAAAATTAGTTATATTGCAATGTTATGGTAATTTTATTAAATTCCAATTAGTAGTGCAAATCTTTAAATGAGATTTCACCAATTGTAGGAATAACCTGGTTAAATGCAGAAGGGAGATTTTGAGGTAATATATTATATTCAATATAAGTTAATGCTATGCAAAATTAATTGAGCAATAGATTGTGAAATTTATGGAATGTAAAAGAGATGATTGTATGTTACTTGTAATCAAAGAAGGGTATTGATACGGCATCACAAAATTAGCTTGATCGGGCACGAATCTCGAGGCGAAAGCTAGTTGCAAACTTCAAAAATTAATTCCGAGAGCACCCCAACTCCGATTTCAGCAAGCTTATAGTCGAACTTCCAGGACGCAACAGGTATGAAGTAGAGGATTTGAGAAGTCAGCTATTCAAGAAAATAAGTAATGCAAGTTTAAATTTAAAAGTATATAATATTCTTTTGGTAAACATGTGCATTAGCATTTAATGAAAATTTAGAGATATGATTATATAAAAAGGGTTTGATGTAATGTATGTATATTTACAATCAAGTGTTAATGTATGAACACAACCACTTGCAATTTTGAATGATTAGGATTTATAATAAGATGTAAGCAAGAGGGCAATGTCCCCTTGGACCCCCACAACAGTTACTTATAATCCAAGAAAGGTACAAAGTAGATGATTTGAGAAGTCAGCTCTTCAAGAAAGTAAGTAATGCAAATTTAAATTTAAAAGTATATAATATTCTTTTGGTAAACATGTACGATAGCATTTAATGAAAATTTAGAAATATGATTATATAAAAAGGGAATGACGTAATGTATGTATATTTACAATCAAGTGTTCATGTATGAACAACCACTTGCAATTTTGAATGATTAAGATTTAGAATAAGATGTAAGCCAGGGGGCACTGCCCCCTTGGACCCCCACAATAATTTCTTATAAGCTTGTTCCTCCCCTGAAAAGGATCACCATATATAACACAACAGTATAAGTGGGATAAAAGGAACCATAGAGATATGATACATGCATAGTATGTGGGACAAAAGGAACCCCTAAAGAAAAATTTTATGTTGCTTTATAAATAATGTCAAGTTTTGATTAAATTATTATTTCAATGTTGTGAGTTCTATAATCATGCAATTTAACTATTATTTAATTTACATGAAAAAAAAAGGAAAAACTTGAAACAGAATAGGTTCAAATTCATTCCACTTTATGTTTTTTCTATCTAACAATATTTTTAAGTCTACATTTAAGGTATGTAGAACGTTCAATATTTTATTCTCTTTTGGTTTCTCTTAGTGACTCTGTATATATTATGTGTTGTAAATTAGATTAATTAGATCCTTCTGTGTATTCAGTAAATATAATTATTTGTGGTTATTTTAAACTATGGCGTTATTGAGAAGTGATAAAAGTAAAGAATGAATGTGATTTTTACTTGTGGCACTCTACGTTACTATTAAGGAGTATCTTGGCATTTTACAGTCGCAACTTTGGTTTCACAACACTGACAGATGTCATCTTAACCCTGATGTTTGACGTCATTACATCATCGATATTTAAAAACCTTTTCAACGTCAAAGTCTGACATTGTCTTGGCATTGTTGCTTGACGTTAGCAATTTCTACACCCACAACTTGACAGATCATCTTTATCCAACTTCATCTTAACATCGACGATCAATGCCCTATCAACATTGACGATGGGCTAGACATCGACACGTAATACTTACTGCATAAAATCAATGCCCGACTATCGACATCCTAATATTAATCATTTTAAACACAAATTCTAGTTAAATGACTTTTTATTTCTACATTATTTTTAATGTTAAACTTATTTAATTTTTATGGACTATTTTTAAAATATTAAAATTATAATACTGTGTCCAGCCCATATCAATATTTTCAATAATTGGCATGTCCCGTGTCTGCGTCATGTCGTGTCGTGTCCGTGTCGCATCCATATCTATATATATTGAATAAAACCCACAAAAGGGGCATATGCTTTAATTTTAAAAGGAAAATTACAAGTCTTTAAAGAACCACAAGCTCTCCAAAAATTAGGATTGAATTTTATCTAACTAATATATGTTTAAAAAAAAACTAATATTTGTTTGAATTAGGTCTAAGCTTTAGTTAATGTAGGCTAAGCTTGGGTAAGATGAATCACCTAGAATCTAACTATATATGCTCAATTCGGTCCAAGTTAATAGTTCATAGATTAAGGCTTGTCAATCAAGTCTAAGGGAATTTGATTTAAAGAGCTTTTGTCCATGTTCTAACAAGAAAAAAAAATCAATGAAAATATTGACTTAAGTGAAGTGCATGGACATATTAAGGCTTGGATGACTTAGTGGATCCATTACATGTCCCATGACATTGTTTGGTGTCTCAATGATTGAAGTGGCATTACCCATATATGTTAACAGCTCTTGAATAGTTAAAAACTTTGACAAATTAAACTATTAGCATTTCAGCTATTTTAGTTTTTTAAGATCTTGATTGTTGTTGCTACGATCCTGCGATCAAACCTCTTTTATGTCAAATTTGTGCTTCAGCACTCAATTTTTTTCAAAAAAAAAAGAAAAAAAATGTAGATGTTATGCAAGGAAAATTATTACGTGTGGCATCAGGATTTGTCCGGAGGCGAATTCGGACGCGCCACATCACTTGTGGCTCAGTGCATCAGAGTGACATGGAGCGTCCGGATTCACCTCCGGATGGTCCGGACACTGCATGGAATAATCTCTCGTTATGCAGAGTATGGTTATTCAAATAGATACAGTTCCCTTTATATGGTGGTTTATGAGTACACTTCAAATAGGCTGAATGGATTCCAGCATTGAAGCCTTCAAAAAAGGTTCCAGGATAGATGTGGTTGTGGCTGTCTGTTTCATGTGCTCCAGTCTGACAACTAGCTTTTTTTTTGCTTCCATGGTCTTTCAAATTCCAGATCTAATTTCCTTTCAAGTGCTAACAGCTAATGCAGAGAATCTGAAAAAGAAGAAAGACAAGACATCCCTAAAGATGTAACTAAATAAGCTTATGATGTTGGATCAACCAATGGGAAAACCTCACCAATATTCTTTCCTTTCCAAGCTTTATTCTCCTTCCTCATGTCATCAGTAAAAATAGAGAACCTGCATTGTAGCAGAAGAATTTACAAAACGATTGATTATTTTCTTCATTAGCGTTAAGTAAGTTGAAAGTATTTTTTTTGCTTGCTTGAAGTTCTAAGTCTGATATGGAAGAGGCATTAAGCGTAATATAAAGACGAATGTTCACAGCTTGATTTTTTTTGGGGGAAGAATTGGGGTAAAGCCCGTATATTTAAAAAGAAGGTTACAAAGAGCAACAAAAAACAACTCTAAAATCAAAATACAAGTAAAATGAGAGCTGTAACAAAACCCAACTATAATTGGACCGCAAAATTATCCCAAAAAACAAAATTGAAGTCTCATATGGGCTCGGGAGTTGCGAGAACTGACACGTTCGAGCAGTGAGAATGTCATGGAAGGATGGAACCAGGAAGAGCTTAGTGTGGGCAATTGCCCATTCTGAATTCTTTTTAAGAAAAATAAATATTTTAATTATTTTTCTCACCTTCAATAAACATAGTTGCTCAAATTTTAAGATTTTTTTTTAATTATATATATATATATATATATATATACATACATACGTTTATAAATACTTAATATAAAAAAAAAAGAAATTAAAAAAAAAAGAGGGATATATATATATATATTTCACAATTCTATTTTATCCACCTTGGAAAAAAAAAGTTAGTTCACTAATATAAATTTCATGAACATTGACTGATATTAGGGAGTTCTTAGATAGTTACTGGCAGGCATGCAGAAAATGTGATTCTTGCAGTTCAATTATCTGAAGGAGGAATCTGCTTCAGCGAGAAAAATCATGACTTCAAGAATATTATCAAAATGAGAAAGTTGATTAGATACATCTCTGATGCAATTAATACTCTAGATAATGGCAGCTTACATTTTGGATAATTTCAGCAACAGGAAATTATCTCGATTCTACTGATCTTTGCAGTTCTTCTATGAACAGACTGATTGATTTATGACTAAGATTGACCTGTTCGAATATGCTGGAACTGAACCGAGGATCGTTTATATGACCAAAAATATAAAATATTTCATGGCAGGAAATGTTGATGGCAAGCTTGGCAGGTGATTTCTATGCAGGTAGAACTGATTCTCCTGGTAGCGACCATCTTCATTCTCTCAACTTTCTCTAACTCCTCTCTGGCTCGCTCCCAGACTAACCTTGCCCTGGTGAACTCCTTCTCCGCAAGCTCCAGCTCCCTCCTTGTTAGCTCCTTCATGTGCTCAGCATAAGCCCTCTCCAACGTAGCTAGTCGAACCTGTTCTGCCACTTGCTGCTTCAGCACTTGCAAGCTTCTCAAGCTGCTCCCGGCCTCGAGATTTCCGGGAGTCATCCATGGAGGTGCGACGCTCATTGACAGGCTTAAGTCGAGCGTTGGTTCAGTACTGTTACTGCGCTCCATTGTCATTACCAGTGGCTTGAGTTCACCAGGAGGTTCATGAGTGAATGTAGCTGTAGGGAGCAGTAGCTGTAATTCTCTCTTCTTACTTCCTTCCATTGAAGAATAGTGAACTGAGCGCATGGATGGTTATGAGGATGGTATTATGGTGGTTGCAGCACCCAACTTTTTATACTGAGGTTCTGCTTGCTGTGGCTACATATGTAAATTGCTATAAAATTATTATGAGAAAAATATTTTTTTTAAAACTATTATAAACATCATAAACTTTTTTCTTGCTTATAACAAAAATTATTTTTGACATTAAAAAATATCATAAAAATAATAATTAAAAAGGACTTCACTACCACTTGAAAATAATACTGTAAAAAAAACAATCCAACTAAATCTAAATCCCGTATATAAATCACAAATAATTACAAAATCAGGTCTAGAAAACAAGACCAAAGCAAAAGAGAGCAAGATAACAAACAAAACCTATCGGAAAGGAAACAGAAATGGGTCAAAATTTAGTCAAAGAGAGACTCAGGATGAAGCCAGATGCCCAATCATCAACAAAACCAGGGGCTTGGACGAATAATCAAACGCACCCATCGAATTAGCCAAGTAGAGAAAAGTGCCCAGATTATCGCAGGACCAACCAGGAGCTAATCAAATGGCACAAGGACCCTAAGGGCATCTCCAACCGAACGCTAAACGACTGTATGGAGTCGTTCCCTCGCTCCAACCGAACTCCAAAATTTTCGCCATTTAATCGCAGGTGAACAGTGCGACGCCAATATTGGCGTCGCACTGTTCACTCACGCCATTTTTTCTCTCAACCCGAAAAACGCGCGAAAGGGAGAGCGATCGTTACCTTCTCAAAAACACCTAAAATGGCGTTCGATTGGAGCATCCCGCGCCATTTTGGAGTTTTTGCGTTACTTTGCCGTGAAAAATGAAGTTTTCGGTTGGAGATGCCCTAACTGGAGGCACCAGATAAACTCCACCTTAAGCCATTTAACATATTCAAAAGCTGTCATAAAGACCATCCAATCAGACGCACCAACCGAATCCTAAGTGGTGTTGCTTAGCAGTTTATACAGATTGGATGTATGGTGGAATAGGTCTGAACTGAAATGTGCTATAGATTTCACTGCTGCTTGACCGGGTGGTGAAGAGCCGGTTGGGTAAAGTCTAGGTCCATGGTACGAATCCTTTGGCAAGCAATGAAAGTCTTAAGTGTTGGCCCTGTGTAAATTGGTGTGGGTTGCATGATAGGTCGACCGGTGACTGGCCTAAAAACATTACTTCTAAAAAAAATGCTACAGAGCAGATTCTGAGCAGGAAAGTTAGTGGATTTGGTTTATGATTCCTGTTGGCTCTGTTTAGCTGCAGGTTTTGTGTGAAGGGAGTGATGATTGTATTTGGCTATTTGCATGTGTAGGGGCGGAGATGTCAACTTTTTACATTTCCCAGCGCCAACTTCGCTTTTAACGTTCATGGTCCAGAGGGATGACATGACTTTTTTAGGCCCTCTCCTTGGTACAGTTTGTTAGGCCCTCTCATGGTCCAGAGGGATGTCTCGAGAAATTATTAGGTACGGAGTGCGGACGGGAGAATCGTCTGCACACTAGTATAAAACAGTGTTCGGTACCACTCGGTACCGCTGGGTACCGCTCGGTACTCTGTATCTGTGCAGATAGTTCTCACCCCGTCTGCACTTCGCACCTAATAATTTTTCCTCTCCTTGATTTTTCCAAACAGTTATGGTGAGATCAGAGGTACGTGCCAGGATCTGATGGGATGATTGGTCCGTGCTTGCTCTCTAGTGTGCACCGTCATGTGCCTTGGTACAGTTTTTTACCATATTCTGAGCGGATGAAATTATTACGAGCTGTACCCACTACTGCACTTTTTTTTGAGAAAAACTGAGGGCATAGCACATTTTCATTAATGGAAAATAATTACATATATGTAGAAGAAAAGAGCAGCAAAAAAAAAATAAAAAAAAATGTTCATGAGCACATAACAAAATTGTGGGTATTCAAAAGAACCCAGCAAAAAAGGGTTACAAGAATCATAACTCCTACAAAAAACATAGCTACCACAAAAACAGAAGAGACCTTAAAAGGCGTATTTGGCTCATGAATTGTAAACATTCTATCGACCTGATTACAGTAAGACCAAATACGAATGAAGTATTGCCATCCTAAACCCGAGAAATTATTGCGTGCGGAATCCGAATGCATTCAGATACAATCATCGCTTGCCATATCAGCGGATGCACTCCGGGGCCCAGTGCATCTAGTGTTGTGATGCTTGGTGATTGGAATCTGAATGCATTCGAATTCAGCACACAATAATTTCTCCCTAAACCCAGACATTCTGCCTACTACTGCACATTTCAGTACAAGTTTTTTTATTTTCAAAAATTAAGGATGACGTTCAATCAAATTCTATTAATTATAAAATTTCTATAATTTAACAGGTCAAAAAAATAATGCATCCGAGGTTTAAAAAAAGAAAACTTTTAGTACAAAAACAACGTCAATTATTTATCCTACTACTACTTGAGCTCGATTATACGATTTTCTTATCATGTTTCAATAAGAAAACAATTCATAAGAGTTGTAAATTTTTTTTTGAAAAATCTAAAAAACAAACAATTATAATGAAATATTTTAAAAAAGAACTCGAAAAAAAAAAAACCAAAAATCTTTTAGCCACCAATGAAACAAGAGTTTGTCTTAATGCCATCTCCAATCAGACTGGAAACATTCATTTGCAGCTACCGCTAGCCTCCAACTCAACTCCAGAAAGAGGTATTTTTGGGCTGTAAACTGTGCAACACTAACATTAAGCTCGCACTATTTACAAAAACTCAATTTTTTAGGCCAATAAAAGGATGAGAAAGAATCTATATGAAATTTTTTTGGGTGTTAGAAATGGAGTTCAATTGGACTAAATTATTATTTGATATAACATTTACTATATTTTAAAGTGAAAAATGAGGAGTTCAATTGGAGATGCCTTAAGCAGATTGTGGACCTCCGAAAGAGCACCGCTACGGCTACAGGATTGCAGAGGGGTATACGAACGCACCTACCTGTGGGCCTCCGAAAGAGCACCGCTACGGCTGCAGGATTGCAGAGGGGTATATGACCACACCTTCCCCAAGGGATAGAGACGATCACAAGCCTTCGCGCTCCTCGCAAACGGGCCAAGTAGAAGGGACATATTGGACCATACATACAATCAACCATGGAGGATAGCGGCTCTCGCTTACGCACCTCGATGGGTAATAATATATATGGTCTAATCACAGTCACGGGTTTACCCCCATCCGATACACAGCTCGAGTGGGTTTAGTAGATGTTGGAATTCAGTTTCCCACGCAACTATTCCTATTGAAGTTCACATGTAGCTCTAAGAAAAAGAAAGGTTTCTAACTTTTGAATAAGTTTGATATTTCTTAGAAATTTATTTGGGTGAATGAGTTTAAGTATTATTCAACTTCTTTAGCTTCTTTAGATTTGGTTAGAAGCAAATGTGGCAAATGGAAAAGAAAATCCTTTTGTTTTTTGTTCTTTTCTTTTCTTTTAAGCTAAAGTGGCTTTTCCCACTTGTACTGTGGTTGTCAGCTATGTAAGTAGGAATATAATACTGAAATTTTCAAATTTGAATGGTCTGAATAATCGCTGTCTGTGCTCCAACGATTAGAATTCTAATTATTTAGCATTACTTAGACAATACTTCCTCCCAACTGTCATTGTCTCTGTAGTTATCGTAAAGCCCAATTGACAAAATTATTGGAAAAGTGGGGCAGGCGGACTCCACCATACTTCTAAGAACCAATAGGCCATTGCTTAAACATTAATCTTCTAATTAACATTGTATGCGTTGATGGCTTTGAGCGGTACCTGTTTTTTTTTTTTTTTTTTTTTTTTTTTTTTTTGATTAATTATTTTATAATATTGTACGGAGACCAATCAGAATGCACCATGTCATCTCTTGCTCGATACTGCAGCTCAGTACTGCTCGGTACCGTGGCTCAATTTTACTGACATAGCTCATTCTGGTTGGTCTCCAGACGGCATTCTGCTTCCGGTCTCCAGAGAATAATTTCTCCATATTTTGGGGGAGGGAAGAGAGGACATCTAGACCAATTAAAACAAACTCACACATATCATAAATATAACTCCAACTCAAGACCTTTTGATTGATAATCAAAACTCTCAACCAACAGATCATCATGAGCTAAGTGATATAAAAAAAATTATAATAATTCAAATAACAATTACTTTCTCGCTGATTTCTTATTGTTAAAAAAAAAAATTTGTGGCAAAAAGCTTCTCTCTTCTCTTTACAATCAAAGTTACTTTTACCACTATAAGAAACTATTAGACAGCCTCTTATTAACATATAAGAAACTATTTGTTCTTTGAATGTGATTTTTCACATACTGTTCTTATGGCAACTATTTTTATGCTTAGACAATTTTACCTTACACCCAACTTGGCCCAGGTCTTTGATTTTATTCACAAAATTAAGAAGTTCAATGTGGGGAAAAAAACTTCTGTTTACTTACTGTTAGCTGCATCATTTATCATCTCTGGAGGGAGAGAAACAATCGTCGTTTCTCTTATACTTGGGCAAATCCAAACTCTATTAGCCATGCGCTTAACTATGTTGTTACTTGCAAAATCAAAACCTGGAAAGCTTATGACTCAATTGTGTAACGATTCAGCAATCCTTTTTTTTTTTGGGTAATTTTTAACTGGAAGCTGGAGCAGTTTTTTTGGGCGGTTTTGCCGACGATGATGAGCTTGGCAAATCGTTCCATTCCTTTGGTGGATGGTCCTGGTGGAAACCATCAATTTTTGTGGAATAGAATTAATTTTGCAATGATGGGGCTCTGTGATGGCCACTGTGACTTTCTGTATCCTCGGGTTGATTGCTTTGGCCTTTTGGCAACCAGAGCTGCATCTGCTTTTCGGGCTACTTTTCTGAATCTCTGATGATCGTCGATCTGGCCAGTTGCCTGAGTCGGATTTTGTTTCTATCTCTTCTCTGCCTTCTGGCATTTTGTTGGTTTTTTTTTTCTTTCCTTAGCCAACATTTCGCTCTTTGGTTGG